TCCGCCCCCAATATTGTCTGCTCCATGTCTGGGCTGATCAGGAAAGTGTGCTGCACGGACTTGTCGCCTAGGCGTATTGAGTGCATTGATCCGTCAATTTTCATTCGATATCTACTCATTGCTCTCAAGGCTAGCGTGCACGGTTTGCATTCAGCTTCGTTGCCTCTCTGCCTCAGCGATACCTCCGCTCCTGTGTCATTCAAGAACAGTTCTCTCTTCCCGTCTATCTCGATAACGGCTTGTATGGTAGTCTGTGTCACTGCGCTAATCAACCCCCCCAGGACAAGATAAGTAATCCGAAGTTCTGTTAATTACAAGTGTTCGGGTAAAACGACATTGATTCCTCCGGTTACCAGACATGCCACACTTGTATCACTGGCTCGTTCGAGCGTGCCTCCGCGATTCCACCCTAATGACTGCAAGCTGTTCCGCTAGTTGGTCCATTCTGGTCTGCAGTTCCTTCACTGGTGAACCATGCGTCTTCTCCTGCGACTGCATCGTGGCCAGTGGTGCCGCGGCAAATTCCTTCCCGAGATGCTCAAACTCCTCCACAATCAACCGCCAACCGCAACTGGGCACCAGGAGCAGGCTGAATACCTTCGACGAACCAGTCAGACAGAAACTGCTGGCGGCAAAGCCCTATCCAGAAACTGCTGCAGGCTGTCGGTCGGCTAAAATCCAGGTACAATCCTGGATGTCTTGAACTACCCCATCGCCTCCTGACGGTCGGTTGGTGTGTCGAACTCAGCTGCGAAAGGTTCCTTCGCCGCGGCCCAGTCCATTTTCCGAGGGCCCCTTCTGGCCGCATCCAGGTGCGCCTCCGCCCGGCCCCTGAGGAGTGATTTCAGCGCCACCAACTTATTCCGGTTGGTGTCCAGTCCAGCAGCCTCCGCAACCTCCTCCAAGTCCTCAAGGAAGGTCTGAAAATCCCCATTCTCATAGGTATGTGGCCACGGGATCTTCATCTTTATCCTGATCACGGCACCAAATGAAAGGAAGAGTGACTTCGCTGCAGAGTTACGAGAAAACCACGTACTAATCGCATGCCTCATCAGGAGTGTCCACCGTTACGCGGCAAATTCCCGTGCGAGATGCTCAAACTCCTCCACAATCAACCGCCAACCGCAACTGGGCACCAGGAGCAGGCTGAATACCTTCGACGAACCAGTCAGACAGAAACTGCTGGCGGCAAAGCCCTATCCAGAAACTGCTGCAGGCTGTCGGTCGGCTAAAATCCAGGTACAATCCTGGATGTCTTGAACTACCCCATCGCCTCCTGACGGTCGGTTGGTGTGTCGAACTCAGCTGCGAAAGGTTCCTTCGCCGCGGCCCAGTCCATTTTCCGAGGGCCCCTTCTGGCCGCATCCAGGTGCGCCTCCGCCCGGCCCCTGAGGAGTGATTTCAGCGCCACCAACTTATTCCGGTTGGTGTCCAGTCCAGCAGCCTCCGCAACCTCCTCCAAGTCCTCAAGGAAGGTCTGAAAATCCCCATTCTCATAGGTATGTGGCCACGGGATCTTCATCTTTATCCTGATCACGGCACCAAATGAAAGGAAGAGTGACTTCGCTGCAGAGTTACGAGAAAACCACGTACTAATCGCATGCCTCATCAGGAGTGTCCACCGTTACACTGTTACTTCAGCTTGTAAAGATGACTGCTGAGCGTTTGAGCTGAAAAGTTTAGTTGATAACGGTTCGTCAACATTTTGGGTAACATTACCGGTGTGTTGTGAGTAGAAGTGACACCTTTGCGGGTGATGAAAAGTTTCTAACCATAGTGCCAGCCCAGCGAACGAATCAACGGCCATGAATGGGATTCATTCAGTTCTCTTTTAAATTTTCTGGTCGCTTTGTTCTTGGGACTTTTTGACGCGACTTAATGTTTGAATATCTCAAACCTAGACAGGCAACGTTGTTTTGATTAAATAGCACAGTGCGCAGGAACAACATGCAGTCCAAATTCTGGTTAACTGCTGCTGTGATACCTGAATCTTTCCCATTTCAACCTGAAAGTTCGTACTACCAAGACTGGGAGCGAAATTTATTGCCCACCAAATGAAGCAGCAGTTCGGTTGAAGAAAGGCACCTTGTGAAGAGTTTTCTAACGGCTAGATACGCTGAAGGATTTAAATGTCAATGAAGTCAAAAGATGGACTTCCCCGCTTACCCCTGAAGTAAAGGGCCAAAGTTTAACCTAACCAGTCAAGGATTATACTCAGAGGAGGAATCTGTAACTTCTGCTCCTTATGTTGAACCAATGTAACATGTTTTCGGTGCTGTAATAAGCGGTTATAAAGCCGGTTGCTTCCGCTTCTTGTGCTAATGCATACACATCACCAAGCAACAGCGAACCACCACAACATTTTTCAGCTCTGCTCTATCAACTCCATGCAGTTTGCTTCGATGCCTTTCAAAGATGCTGACCTTCCATCTAATGGCGGTTAAATTCTTTGATTCTTATGGGAACAGCTTCATAATAAGGAGCAAGCCTTTAGTGGGCTATTGTGTTGGTAAGTTTCTCGATAAGGGAGCTATGTTGATTTTGTTTTAGAATACCATTGTGAAGACCCTTTTTTGCTACTCGTAAAATATCAGTAACTTGTTCAGGGAAGTGAACCAGGTGACCATCTCCGTAACAATCTCTAGCTGATTATGCCGCCTATGACACACCTGACGAAACCCATCTATGGACATGTGTATTTTACAGTTTATCTATTGTTACAGTTTCTCTGTTAGAAATACACTCAGGAGAAGCTTGTGAATGAGAGGTGGGAGTATGCTTCTCTTCATAGGTTTTGAAAAGAGCCACCTTAAACCATCACAGATAAATCACCAGACAACAAAATCACAGTTACAGTAGAACTGCCATAACGTAACTACAGACTAATCCGTTGATCCTGGCTGATGTAGACTAAAAGCTAATGGGGAATGCCGGCTCTGGTTAGATCAGCATCATTTTTCTAAGTGAACAATCTTAGTGTTTCCCCCTTCTGGCAAGTTTCAATAAGATTGGGCTAACTTCCAAAACGAAGACAACTGCTGCGTCCTTTCAGAATTTGCCTTTCTTGAGCAACGTGCTCATTCAGCGTTAAAAATCTGATCAATTGTTCTTCTTTATGTCAGGATCTACGCTAATGAGGGTGAGCAATTTTAAATATATTATACTAAGGTTTTATTCCACTCATGAAAAACAGTAGGAAATTTAAATGAAACTCTTGTGAGTTTCCCTAATGATACAAATAATATACAGATAAGTTGCATAGTGAAGTTTTCAAGGTCCTAATTCATTTATTTTATGTTATATCAGGGTAAAAAGTGCAAAAGCCGTGCGCTTATAAACATACACTTTGGACTGAACTTCACAGTCTGATTTGCGGCAAGTACTTCCTTGTTTATAAAATCCTAATTTTCCCGCATTATGATTGATCAGTAATTGCTATGAATGTTACGATCCTTACTTATTTTCAACGTACATTTGTTAGTGCACTACGTTACAAAATCAACTAGGTAATCAGAAGGCTATAGGCACCAATAAAATACATGTTGTGGGAACGTGGAACGATAATATGTACACCTTGATGAGACAAAGTACAACGTCAGGATGAAACAGTTCAACAAGGCTGACTTATAGTTTTGAACGTGAGTCGCAGTAATTCCTCCAAATTTGTGCGGACGCAGGTGGTTTTTCCGTGGCCTGGGTGCCAATGGCTCCGCGTTTCCACGCTAGGTCAACCACTGCTGCTGTTCTCCCGTTTCGTCTCCTGTGTGCGTGTTGTGTACTCGTTTATATATTTATGATCGTTGAGGCGTACGTCGGGGTGAACTTGTGACGTGGAAAAATAACAATGTGAAATCACACAGAGTCGCCTCGATGCGTACGAACAGGAGGTGAACTTTATTCGGTCAAGGTTGCAGGCAAGTCACGATGTGTGATGCTCGTGGTTGTGGGGTAAACAAGATAATAGACAGTCTATGTGGATGTGCTAATAAAATTAGTTCCAGGGGTTAAGTAGAGAGGGGGTAGCCGCTACAGATTTCAGAGGTCTCAGCTTGAAAAACTATTCACCATTGGCAATCCTCAGCAAATATAAATTAGCACACACAACTGTTCCCTTCAGTTGACGCAACTGTTTTCAACGTACTTCAAATCAAACGCAACTGCACAGGAAAAATAGCGTTTTCAGTGCTTTTGGGCACATTAGACCTGTCATTATTGTTCGTATTGTCCAGAATTGGACAGTCAACACTATTTTCCATTCAGCAACTTGTTTGGGCTTGTTCTAGTAGGTGTACGTGAGCTCTAAAAATCCGTTTCATTTCAGCGTGAGATGTGGTTTTAACCGAAGAAGCAGTAACCAGAAACACTAGCTTACTTACTTACTAGCTTGTGAATTCCTAAAAAAATTCCTCCAATACCGTGGTGCGTATGTAAATGATCTTGTATCAATACCGACGCTGCATTTTTTGAAGGTTGATACTCCAGCTGGCAACGGTTTTAACTTCAACGAAAGCCATCAGTGAAATGACATGGCTCTTCAGTTCGGACGTTGTTTATGTTGCAAGATTCTTGATGCCTCGCACTTCTCTCAAATTGTGCTTACTCTATTCAGTCTGCTCTACTTATCAGATAGAACTGGGCATTTCTAGTGGCAAACAGTTTCGTGAACATGCTGCGTTGTTGCTTACAATGTGGGTGGTACCACTGATAACGAGGATGTCAAACGGTGCTCTACGTGACCTTGGTATGAACGACTGATGAGGTTCAAGAAAACTGCACCTTAGGCTTCATCAATGGGTCAACAAAATATACATCGACTTTTGGAGATTTCAGTAATGTTCACCTGTCACTGAGCTTTTTCGCTCCCACATACTCGCAGCAAGTTTTGCAAAGCATAGAGAAGACAGTTTTTGTTCTTTTGCACTTTAACTAGTAGTTTAACTACAAAACACGTCCGAGTTAGCATCACCTCAGCTTTCTTTCGCTTGAGTGGATTACCGTAGACTTACGGTGTTCATCGATTCCAAATGACCTTTTGAAGGCATATTATGAAAAATGGTATTGTTTTGTTTCACGGACTTCTAATTTCATCCTAAATTGTCGTCCCTATACTGATATGGTTCCAGATGTAACGCCACCTGTCAACCTACTGTCGGCCTATGAACTAGATTTGTACGAAAGGCATTTATTCCCACACCCTACAATCACTGGAGTCAAAAGTCCTTTTGATGCATACCAAACATACATCAATATGAGTGAGCAACCAAAATCAGGACTTCGAAGGAAGAACTTACGTCCATACCTAAATCTAGGCTCCAGACGATCAGCAAAGGTACATAAAAGGACATCTAATCAAGATGACACGGAACAGCTGAGCACAAGGAATTCAAAAGTTTCGGCTGTACAGTTTTCTCCAGTGCGAACTTCTGACCCAGTGATTTCTGTCTATCGTCTTCTCATCCGGCCGGCAATCCTGGAAATGAAAGAAGGTGGTATAACGGCACGCCTGCGATACATAATTCAGCTGCATAAAAGGATAACAGGATACTATCGACTGATAATTGAGGTTCGCTTGAGTCCAGAATTTCCTCCAATATTTGTCGGGTAAGTCGTACATTTTCTCTATTTCCAAGGCGAAATGTAACCATTTTCATATGTAGCTGCCCACTGTTTATGAATCACCATATACGATCTAAAATAAACCGTCTCTTTCTGCCTAGTAGTTGTCCATTATTTTTGAGGGCTCTAATCGTGCAAGGAGGCAAACGCTAGAGAATTCTATTGCTTGAGTGATCAGTAAGGTACCACGGTGCATCACTGCGAGACCAAAGCATTTTCCCTTAAGAGTATATTCATGTCTTGAGATTATGGGCTTTGATAATTTTAACAAAATAAATTATCGAAATTAATCGTTCCGGATGTTTCGTCAACTTGCTGTAACAAGGTAGACTGGGCGAGGTATTGGATAATTACGGGAAAGCTTGATGAGACCAGATTTGCTTTTTTCCGTGGCCTGGGTGCCAATGGCTCCGCGTTTCCACGCTAGGTCAACCACTGCTGCTGTTCTCCCGTTTCGTCTCCTGTGTGCGTGTTGTGTACTCGTTTATATATTTATGATCGTTGAGGCGTACGTCGGGGTGAACTTGTGACGTGGAAAAATAACAATGTGAAATCACACAGAGTCGCCTCGATGCGTACGAACAGGAGGTGAACTTTATTCGGTCAAGGTTGCAGGCAAGTCACGATGTGTGATGCTCGTGGTTGTGGGGTAAACAAGATAATAGACAGTCTATGTGGATGTGCTAATAAAATTAGTTCCAGGGGTAAGTAGAGAGGAGGGTAGCCGCTACAGATTTCAGAGGTCTCAGCTTGAAAAACTATTCACCATTGGCAATCCTCAGCAAATATAAATTAGCACACACAACTGTTCCCTTCAGTTGACGCAACTGTTTTCAACGTACTTCAAATCAAACGCAACTGCACAGGAAAAATAGCGTTTTCAGTGCTTTTGGGCACATTAGACCTGTCATTATTGTTCGTATTGTCCAGAATTGGACAGTCAACACTATTTTCCATTCAGCAACTTGTTTGGGCTTGTTCTAGTAGGTGTACGTGAGCTCTAAAAATCCGTTTCATTTCAGCGTGAGATGTGGTTTTAACCGAAGAAGCAGTAACCAGAAACACTAGCTTACTTACTTACTAGCTTGTGAATTCCTAAAAAAATTCCTCCAATACCGTGGTGCGTATGTAAATGATCTTGTATCAATACCGACGCTGCATTTTTTGAAGGTTGATACTCCAGCTGGCAACGGTTTTAACTTCAACGAAAGCCATCAGTGAAATGACATGGCTCTTCAGTTCGGACGTTGTTTATGTTGCAAGATTCTTGATGCCTCGCACTTCTCTCAAATTGTGCTTACTCTATTCAGTCTGCTCTACTTATCAGATAGAACTGGGCATTTCTAGTGGCAAACAGTTTCGTGAACATGCTGCGTTGTTGCTTACAATGTGGGTGGTACCACTGATAACGAGGATGTCAAACGGTGCTCTACGTGACCTTGGTATGAACGACTGATGAGGTTCAAGAAAACTGCACCTTAGGCTTCATCAATGGGTCAACAAAATATACATCGACTTTTGGAGATTTCAGTAATGTTCACCTGTCACTGAGCTTTTTCGCTCCCACATACTCGCAGCAAGTTTTGCAAAGCATAGAGAAGACAGTTTTTGTTCTTTTGCACTTTAACTAGTAGTTTAACTACAAAACACGTCCGAGTTAGCATCACCTCAGCTTTCTTTCGCTTGAGTGGATTACCGTAGACTTACGGTGTTCATCGATTCCAAATGACCTTTTGAAGGCATATTATGAAAAATGGTATTGTTTTGTTTCACGGACTTCTAATTTCATCCTAAATTGTCGTCCCTATACTGATATGGTTCCAGATGTAACGCCACCTGTCAACCTACTGTCGGCCTATGAACTAGATTTGTACGAAAGGCATTTATTCCCACACCCTACAATCACTGGAGTCAAAAGTCCTTTTGATGCATACCAAACATACATCAATATGAGTGAGCAACCAAAATCAGGACTTCGAAGGAAGAACTTACGTCCATACCTAAATCTAGGCTCCAGACGATCAGCAAAGGTACATAAAAGGACATCTAATCAAGATGACACGGAACAGCTGAGCACAAGGAATTCAAAAGTTTCGGCTGTACAGTTTTCTCCAGTGCGAACTTCTGACCCAGTGATTTCTGTCTATCGTCTTCTCATCCGGCCGGCAATCCTGGAAATGAAAGAAGGTGGTATAACGGCACGCCTGCGATACATAATTCAGCTGCATAAAAGGATAACAGGATACTATCGACTGATAATTGAGGTTCGCTTGAGTCCAGAATTTCCTCCAATATTTGTCGGGTAAGTCGTACATTTTCTCTATTTCCAAGGCGAAATGTAACCATTTTCATATGTAGCTGCCCACTGTTTATGAATCACCATATACGATCTAAAATAAACCGTCTCTTTCTGCCTAGTAGTTGTCCATTATTTTTGAGGGCTCTAATCGTGCAAGGAGGCAAACGCTAGAGAATTCTATTGCTTGAGTGATCAGTAAGGTACCACGGTGCATCACTGCGAGACCAAAGCATTTTCCCTTAAGAGTATATTCATGTCTTGAGATTATGGGCTTTGATAATTTTAACAAAATAAATTATCGAAATTAATCGTTCCGGATGTTTCGTCAACTTGCTGTAACAAGGTAGACTGGGCGAGGTATTGGATAATTACGGGAAAGCTTGATGAGACCAGATTTGCTTTGATTTTACCAAGTGTTGTGTCTTGCTGAAAGGTAGTGCAACTCTGTATCGGTCCCAAGGCTTCCTGCTCTACCCCACTATGGTATAGCAAAAGGCACGGTAGCTTCAGGCAGCCCTTTATGGAAACAAAGTAAAATTACTACAACTGTATTTATAGGGTAATCACAGGGCGTGTTAGAATCTACGTAAGGAGGCGAGAAGCGTCAAGTCAAAGATGCTCGATTCGGATTAGCTGGCATCTGACCAACCAGAACATGCCTCCCTTTGGTGCATGTCCTGCACGTGACATCCTTCCAGATGAAGTGATGTTCGGTTACTAGAGCCGGCTGGCCTGGAAAGGGCACTTTTTTCGCACCATTCATGAGACTCTTTCAGAGTGGTCACAGAACTGGAAATCGCCTCCGTCGGTCAAATTTTGAAAACATCTGAAATGGATTATGTGAAACACAATAAAAGTATTAGTTATCCACTTGGAAGGACGTGACAGTGACTTAAAGGTCAGCAGTATGTTCCATTCACCAACAACTACTGAATGACTGGAACATACGTACTTGGCTCACGGTCGATCAAGGTGCTTCAAATCAACGTTCCTCAAATTGAGAGATGTAAAACGATTGAAGTGGAATATTAGTGGTTTTCCCAACTTAGAAGTATCTGAACACAATGACCGGGCACATGGTCCGAAAGCCATGTGGGACGGTTAAACACCGATATGTTCGCTTTGAAATTTGGTTCCAAAAGCAAAATAAAATGAGCCGTTCCTTGGTATCAAATTCTGTCCTACATTCCTCCTACGCTTACGAATAATCCGGCCTTCTACACGCAATCGAAATTCTTATGCATACGAAGTTCCCCTCATCCTCACTGTAAAATGCAGTGGACGTACACGCCCAAAGTCAATTAAAAATTGCTCACGATGTTTTCTCTCAAAATCCATTAGTATGCAGCTGCTTTGCAATGGTCTAAAATAATAAATTTCTCTGTGGGGATATTAGTGTTAAGTGAGGTTGTGAACCAACGCCCCACTCGGAAAGATGGAGTCTGATAATAACTTTCAGGATCTAGCGAACTTTCCAAAACTGCTAAGATGTATTTTTTGTCACAACAATGAAGTCGAACCAAAGACCTTCGATGGGCTGTCGTCGCGCAGTTTTCTAGATTGTTTTCTTTCGACCAAATTACAATGAAGCCAGAAGTTTCGGCATGAGGATCTGCTGGGAACCTCTACCCTTTTTTAATAGGTTCGATTCTGGAAACTACTTAGCATATATGCTGTTCTCACTACACTCACATTCAGTGTACCTGTTGAAAAACGGTGAATCAGTTCAAACGGATGTGGGAGAAGCATTATCGCTGAGTCTTCCGTAGAAGCTCAGAATATCAGAAGTAATTAGTTTTGTGGAAAATGAATTGATAGGCACTGCAGCACATTTTCAAAATGAATGGGCGAAGTTCTGAATAGAAAGCGCAATCTGTTGATTTACGCATGTGTACTTTGTTAGTGCTCCAATTGTGACGTAATTAAGTTGATTATCAGAAGGTAACAAGCACTTTCAAATGTCTGTCTTACTAGAATGTGATGAATGCAATAGTTAGGTGGACTTGATAAAAAATTGATACAATGCGAAAAGTGGAATAAGCCAAAAAATGACTTATCGTTTGAGGACACTTGTTGAGAGTTCCTGAGTGAAGTTCCGGACGCGGGACGTGCCTTCTCTGCAGTGTAGCTGCTACACGTGTTCCGTAGTTGTCCGTGGGGACTTGCGGAGCTCTGTTGACTTTCTGTGCTGTGCGCGCGAGTGTGATATGAGCCTGTGTGACTATTTATTGTGTGCATTCTGAAGAGAACATGAATACATCTTACCTGATATGTTGAATGAAGTTCATAATTCTGGTGCGTGACGCAAGTGGTAGCCGCGTAAACGAAAATGTTTGAGAAGTTTTACTGTACATGTTGTCGGCTAAGGTTGCAAATGCGACAGGAATTGTCACGTGGTTTGAGTGTTTGCGACGCCTGATCTGATGAGTGACCTCTACAAATACTTTCCCCTTAACGAAGGAGAGAAGTAGGTGCTGATGAAATGGTAGGTGATGCTCGTGGTTTAGGGGTAAGCAAGATAATAGACAGCCTATGTGGATGTACTAGTAAAATTAGTTCCAGGGGTAAGTAGACAGGAGAGTAGCCGCTACAGCTTATGTCACAGCTTTATCGGACAAATAAGCTTTTCTTCCGGTGCGGACGACCTGCTGGAGAGGCTAAGAACTCTCCTCGTTTAGCTTACGGGATACGGAATTAAGGTAGGACACACCTGAAGGTTTAGCTGAGCCCAAATTGCTCATGTGGCTGATAGAAACTAGAGGACGGATAAACTGGTAATTTGTATTTTGCTTGACATGTGAATGTTTTAATTTATGTAGCTGTATAACCTAAGGATAAATTATTGGAATTGTGTCCGTTAACCTACGTTCTTTCTGTGACTAAGTGGGATATTGTAATCAAGTCTCAAAGGGTATCGAAGATAACTACCGATTTAGTTGGAATCTAACATCGGAGGAACTTATTCACTTCTCAGTTCATGCTAAACCTTATCCAGTTCGTCATGAAACAGAGCTAATATGGAAGCGATGTGTTCATCTAAGGGACACCCAGCAGACGGGCACAGTTTGTCACTGTCATATCGCAGCATATCAGTAAGTGTAACAATAACGTTTTTTCGACGTTCACTGACTAGTATCAAACTTAAATGTCTTGAAGCAAATCGCTTTGTGCATTCGTACTCACGGTGGTTTATCCCCCGAGCTCGGCCACTGTTTTAGCCTAATGTCATGCGTGATTTTCAGAGAAATGAAAGACGTTTGTGCACATTGGCCGGCAAACGTACCTCAATCTCAGTGTTCAGTCAGAAGATCTCGGTTGTACCAAAAAGGACAAATGTGCCTCTGCTATATGCCACCTGGCCTGTATCATCAACGCCTACGTTTTAACATGAGGCGCATATTAGATGATCTGGAAATTCCTCGATACCTGGTCAGTGTACTATTTCAAGGCAAAGTGAGTTTTCCAAACAAAAACAGTGTTTTGTCGTCCTCAACCCGCATAAATTCCAAAGCAGCTATATCGATCATTTTGATTTAGCAACTGAAGAAAATTATTAGTAAATTCAAATTTACCACAACTGTACTCACTTTTCTGGAATCAAGAAAGTATCATTTTAGTACGACTGAGATAATGTAGTAGTAGTAAAACAGTGCAGTATCTGCAGATAGCCCGTCATTTTTGGATCTCACCGGATGGGCGGAGCCCATGAGATTAGAAGCAGTTAATTCTGCATTGAATAGCAGTTTAATGGAATGATTATTTGTGAGATAATACGCATGATGAGTTTGCTGCAACTACATTCTGGTTTTCCAGCGCGCGCAGATTAAAATCTATTATTGTCTATTCCAGAAAATACATGTATATCTGGATATGAGGCTTGAAGACGAGGACAACCATCGAGCTGGATGCATTCACCTCAAACTCCCCCTTTTGCTCACTTCTACTTAAGGTTTCTTGTCTGTAAAACGACCAGGGCGTCATGGATTTAGAGGTCATTGCGTGTACTCCATGAAGAACAGCGGAACAGTGGGCGCGAACAGCTCACAGACATTTGTACTCACAGGAGAAATCGAAGTGTGTTAGTATTACGGCCGGACAACATTCGTTAGTGGTTCTATTTCAATGAAGCTCAGGTTTATCAGAATAAACTCCATCAACTAACCATCCTCTCACACTTTTTTGAATGTACACTGAGAAATGCTTCTCCATGATTGATGCAAACATCCATTATTTTTATAAATATAAGCCAAGCACCCTATTTTACTTCTCAAGTCCTGCAAAGGATGATCTCGGGATTATTATCAAGTCTCTCTACGTAAACTCCCGCTAGACCGTCCCAGTGATTCCGAGCATGCTTAGGCAGCACTCTTCAGCTGGTCTCGGGGAAACAGCGCGCTGCATTTCATACGCTGATTACTGTTGAAAATTTTCACCGTTTTGTTGGTCGTTGGTGTCATCACATTACTTTGCCCAATTTTCAAGCCAGTCCGCAAAAAACAAAGGCCTATTGTTGTCATCTCTTCTAATTAGCTAATTCTCCAAAGTGAGAAGATATGGCGCAGTCAAGCTTGAAGGGTACCCAAGAGAGAGGAGGAATTGGAGACGCCCCAGAGTCACTTTGATCGGCTGAGTCTGAATGAAGCTGGCATAATTTCCTGGAACGCCACCGATTACGATGCTATGTTGCCCGTGATACCACGCGTTTTGAGACCGTAGCTGATAGTCGAATGTCACGAGATGGCACACACAGGGTATACCAAGACGTGTGACTTACTTCGGCAGAGGGCCTAGTGGCCCAGAATGGGAAGTGAGATGATGGATAATGTGGTGTCCTGTAAGCGGTGCCAACTGTTGAAAGGAGATACGACAGGGGCAAGAATCGGCAAGTTATGGTCCGTTGACGTCATGGGTCCGTTTCTGGTGACGACCAGCGGAAATCAATATATCGTGATAATGACAGAACACCTGTCCCGATGCATCGATGCAAGAGTCGTGCCGACTC